GACGGCGATGACTGCAACACCACTAGTTTTTTTTTTTTGTTGACCGGTTGTCCGACGGCCGACGCCGGATGGATTACCGGCAAGTGATGATGGCCGACAATAACAGCTAGCAGGTGTGCGTCGGCCAGCTGTAAAAAAATGAAGTTTTTGGTACAAGGAAATGTGTTGAAAATTTGATAAATGACAAGGACTTATTTGCAAACTCCGTTAATTTAACTAAATTACAATTTAGTTCATAGGTTTGATTTATAGGTTAACAAAATTTTAAGATTTTTAATTTTATTTCGATTTAGTACATGGGTCAAATCTATAATTTATATAAAATATATAAAAATATTATTTTTTGTATATATTACTAATACCTACATATTATAGTTATTTCAACATAACATAATATGAATCGTTAAATAAACATATTAAAACATTAAATATATTTTTATAATATAAATAATAAATTAATTCAAATATTTAGGTTAGATTTAAATAATATATTTTTATATTATAAATAATATAAACAAATAGTAAATTAATCTATAAATAATATGTCATTGATTGTACGTTAATGTATGTCAGATAGCACGTTAGTGTTAGACGGATTGCACATTATTAGTGACTATGAATAACACAATCATGATAACGTACCAAAAATTACAGTTTCGTTTTATACATCAACAAGTTGCACTTTATAAAACATCATGTTGCACTTTACAAAACAACACGATGCAGTTTATCACGACTATCAAATTGCAAATTAGATATCGAAACCGGCCAGACTCAAAAATTTTCAACAAAAAATATTTAAAAATATAAATAAAATTGTTAATATATGCAATATAATTATAATATAATTTACAAAATTTCGTTAGAATCAATATGCACAATACCGATTTGCACCGTGCACCGTTGTGTTAAAAGATTCGCACGTTAATAACTGCTAGATTGCACCTTATATTTTGTTAACATAGAATATCACATTTCTTAACAAAAAAATAAAAAATAATAAAAATTATTAAATCAAATATATTACAACACTAAATATGTGCATATAATAAAATTAATATTTTTTTCTATTAGTCCGGTTTCGACATTCTCTCGGTCGGTTAAACCAAACCGACCGATGATCCAACCAATTAATAACTATGTAATTTTGTAAAAATGAAACAGATTTTATAATATGCTCGTAAATTCATAATATTGTGCATATCATGTATTGTTAATGTGCAATATATTGAATTTTTTAATACATTACAAAATTGCCCCACTAATAAAAGACAATATAATAAAAGTCATGAAATTACACAAAAGTCCCTACAAAATGTCTAATTCTCTCCATAAAGCCGCAACACCCGAAAAAAAAAATCACCAAACAACTCTGTCATTACATGCACACACACGTACAATACACACACACACACGGCTGCAGCCGCCTGTTTGCCGCCGCCAGCCCAATCGCCGGCGAGAAGCTGTGGGCGTGAATGCCGGTCCCCGCCTGCCCAATCACTGGCCGTCTTTTTCGGCCAGAGACGCCGCCGCTGTGCAGCCGCAAATTGGAAGTTGGTCCCAGTCACCTACAGTGAGTTGTTGTCGTGAATGTTCTGGACCCATAGTGGCGTTCGACGGCGTAACGGCAGCGCCGGACAGCAGTTGTCTGTCTGACAGAGACGGCCGTGAACGTCGGCTCCGTCGTGGTGCTCGACGACATGGTGGCCGCGGCGGACGGCGGCGTCGGAGGCGGGAATTGCGGCGACGATTTGCTGGGTAGAGGAAGCTATGAGATCTGGCTCCGGCGGAGTTCCTGGTATCGGCCGTGAAGATTTGCGGCGACGATTTGCTGTGTGGTTGTGTTTGTGTGAGCAGTGTGTGTGTGTGTTGTCGGTCAATTGTGAAGAAGAGAGATATGATGATCAGAGAGAAAATATATTTTAATTAAATGGTGAGAGAAAATAGATGTATAATTAAATGGTGAGTGGGTCCCACATATTATTTGTACATTGACCAATGTATCCTTAATTATTGGTCAAATACATATATTTGACCATACTATGATCAAATAATTACTAGAATGCCATTAATGATTTACCACAGTTTGAGTTCATCATCACCATTGATATGGTTGATCCCATGGTCCAAGTTCATTCTTATTTCTTTCATTAAAAGTCATTCTCATATGATCCTAACTCTCTCTCGAGTTAGGATCACATGAGAATGGTAGATAGTGAAAGAAATAAGAATGATCACGGACCATTGGATCAATTATATCAATGAACATGATGAAGTCAAGATTTAATTATAATGGTCAAACCTGAGTGGCAAAATTGTGATTATATTATAATTTCATGGACAAGTACATACATTTGAGGGCAGTGGTGTAATTTCATCAAATAAAAATTCAGTGGGCCCCACCCATATCAATTCACGTCACTCTCTCCTCTCTCTCCTATCTCTCCCCATTTGTTCTCTCTCTCACGCACACACACACACACACTAAACGTATTTGAAATCGTTCACCTTCTGCGAGCCCGCCGGAGATGCCTACTGCCACCAACAGCCGCCGTCTGCTGCCGCCCGACGCCGCCTTCTACCGCCGCCGTATCTCTCTCTCGTCATCTCTCCATTTTCCCTTTGCACAGATGACCAATGTCCGCCACAAATTCCGGCGATCTCTCTACCTTCTCTCCGGCGTCGGCCTCGCCCTCCCCTCTCCCGCTGTCTGCCCGCCGCCAGCCGCCGTAGCCTTCCCTTCTCCCCAGAGTTCCGCGTTCCACAACAGAGCACCCATCGAAGCTCCAGCCATCTCAGTCGCCGTCGACCACCGTGTCAAGATGTCCATCAGGACCATCTCCGTCGTCGTCCCGTTCACCGTCATCCTCTGTGGCAGCCGGGCCACCAATGTCCGAGCTCGTCGCCGGAATTTAAATATTCCATGAATGTCGCTGAGATCTTGGGGCAGAAGAAGTCTCTGTGGTTAGGGATTGAGTGTCGACATGACGGCGCGGTCACGGCTGTGGCGACGGCGGACCGGCGGGGGTGCGGCGGACGGAGACGGCGTCGCCGGTGGCGGGTTGGGGCTGGAGATTTTTTTTTTTGTTTTTCTGGTTTGAGGACTTTTAACTTGAAAATTTGACAAGTTATGTGGACCTATATGCAATTTTGTAACTTTTAATATTTTATGATTTAGGACTTGTGGCAAATCCGTAATTCAGTAAAAGTTTAATATATGCTCCACAATAATAAATAAAATGCACAATAATGTGCATATTGACATACATTAATGTGTAACGTGTCTAACACTATTGTGCATGGTTTTGGTCACTATTGTGCAGTCTGAACCGAACGAAATTTTGTCCCAAACTAATTTAAACTCGGACCGAAATAATTAGTTAATTTGATCGGTTAATCGAAGTAGCCAAAAAATAACTGACTTTAAATACAAGTGCAATTGGTTAATCGGTTAATTTGTTCGCTAAAGTGCAATCTGACAGTCATTAATGTGCAATCCATCTGACGGTAATGTGTATTCCAAGTGCAATTGTTTTTTAATAATTATATTAAAATATAATTATTATTTATATAAAAATAATTTATTTTTATATTAAAATATAATTTTTATTTATATATTAACGTGCCTAATGTGTCGAGGTAATTTGTGAAAGAAAATAAATAATGCTAAGGTGCATTCAATACAACAATATTGTGCAATCTGTTAGTCACTAATGTGCATTTTGTTTAACGATATTGTGCACAATGTACACTATGTAATGTAAGTTATTAACAGTGTAGTATTACTATACTGCATAGTCTTATGTACCATATTTGTTTAACAATCTTTATTTCATATTTTTATTTGTTATTTTAATATGTGTGTATAAAAAATATTTAAGGAATAATAGTTTTTATAAATTATTTCTTAATTACATATTTAATCAAAGGAATAATTTGACGTTTCTAAAAACACACCAACAGCCAAACACACAACAAGTTTTCTATATTATAGATTATGCCCAAGGAAGTCAATTGCAGTTTTAATTAATATTTACGAATTTGCAATCAAGTCCCTGGTAAATATCAAATTCTCAAAGGTGAAATCCCGTCAACAATCGTCAATCAAGTCCCAGATCTCCCGTATCGCAACTCTGTCTCATCAACAATCCGATCTATCTCCGGCGGTCCATCTGCTCGAGGTGCGACATCGGGACTGTCAGTTGTCAGTGGGGACCGCCATTAATGTCTCGAGGTTCGAGCCTGAAGCTCGATTTTCCGGTGCAATGGAGGTAAGGATGAGGACGGCGGTGGAGTTGGGTGACGAGCAGGAGGAGTCAGAGAGGTGGGAGAGGAGGTGACCGTGGAAGAAGATGTCTGCCGGCGGAATATCCACAGCAGCGGCGTGCGGCGGAGATGGGGCTAAACCGGAGATCGTCAACGTCCGACAACGCAAATGGACATGGCGGAGTGTGCAGAAAAGTGCAATCCGACATACAATAATGTGCAATTCGTCTAACATTATTGTGCATTCCATCGATCGAGTATTTTTTAAGTGTATTTCAAATATCATTATTTTGCATTTATCAAAATTTTTATATAATAAAAATATATTTATTGTTTATATTTTGTATTTAAAATTTTATAACAAAAAAAATATTAAAATCGAAAAAGTGCAATCTGACATACAATAATGTGCAATTCATTTATCATTATGGTGCAATAAATTGATCGAGTATTCCTTATGTGTATTCCAAATTTATAAACTTTAATGATGTGTAATTCGATTATCATTATTTTGCATATATCAATTTTTTTTATATAATAAAAATACATTTATTATTTATTTAATATTTCATATTATGGTTTGTTCATAAGAAATAATACATAATTAGAATATATAAATATTATGTTTAAATTACATATTTAACCAATTAACTAACTTGTAATATATGTAAATATTGTAAAATTGCAACTAGGTCCCTAAAATCTATCTAATCTTCAAAAACGATTCAGCCCCAAAATTGAAGCTCCCCATGATTTTTCAGAAAACAACCGCCGCCCCAAAATTGAAGCTCCCGGTGAAATTTTAGAAATCAACCGCCGACCGCCGCGTGTCTAAGGCATCCGCCGGGGGTTTGCCGCGGGTCCAGCCATCGGCTGTGTGAAGAGTAAGTCGGAGTGCCGAGGAAGACGATGTACCCGTCTTCGATCGTCGGGCTCCCAGGTTTTCGATTTCTGTGCGGCGGAGTGGCGGGAGGCGGAGGACGATTCTTCGCCCGCCACGCCATGGGTGGAGCTGGACGTGTCGTCGCCCCGTTCACGTCCGACCACCGTGACTGAAGTGTTCGTCGCCTGATGTGCAGTCGCCCTTCCACTACCGGCGATTCTCGCCGTTGATTCTACTAATTCTGAATATGGAGACCTTCGTCGGGATGTGATGTACGCACAAGATGACGGCGAAGCTGGTGCCGCCGCCGCCGCCGCCGCTATTGGTTGTCTCTACGAGTCCCTCCGGCGGTCGAGGATGTTGCCGACGGAGCTTGACTGCTCCGGTGGTCGACGACCTGCAAGTCCGGTATGCCGATGTGCAGATTCCGGTGAGACATTAGAGGATGGTGACCTCAGGCGGAACTGATTTTTGGTTGCAGAGGTTGTGTATGTGTGTGTGTGTGAGAGAGAGAGAGAGAGAGAGGAGGTGGGGGAAGAGAGAGAATGAATTGATTGAGAGAGGATGGTGACGTGAATAGTTGTGTTTGGTGGAAGCGGGCCCACTGATTTTGGGTTGGTGAAAAATGTCCCCATTGCCCTTAAGTTGTGTAACATTGTTTCTTATTTTTTACCGTTGGATGATCCCATCCGATGGCTATGATGTATTCTTATTTCTTTCACTGAGCACCATTCTCACCGGAGCGCGACCCTATATATATATATAAAGAAGGGATCATATGAGAAAGAAAAGATAGTGAAAGAAACGAGAAAAAATATACACCGTAAGATCTGCCAGATTAACAGTCAAGATGGTGTCACAGGTGTTGACCACGCAGAATTAGGCGGTGGCATAGTCGTAATTTCAGTATAAAATTAAGGTAAATTTTTTATGTCAAAGGGTATAGGCGTAATTACTTGTGTGAACACAAATCATGCAGTGGGCTCCACAACATCCCAACTTATGCATTATCTCTTATCTCTCTATCTCCCCCGATCTGCCATCTCTCTCTCTCTATCCCCCACCTATCATCTTTATCTCTCTTCTCCATCGCTCACTAATTCTTTCTCCCCGAGAATAATAGGCTCGCTGGCATGAAGATCCCAACCGCGACCTTATGGCAATCATCAGCCGCCGGTGTATCGATCGAAAATAAATCGTCTGACAACGTCCAGTGAAGATGGAGAAGGTGTCGGGGTTCAATCTATCCGTTGTTGTCGTCGGTAGAGACGATGTGGTTCTGGAAGGGCTGGCGGCGGTGGGGATGGCCTGATGGGGACTCCAGCGGGCGGAGCGTTGGTAGTAGTGACAATTGGTGGATTTTTTAGGGGTTATGATTTGAGGCTTATTGATCGCGCCGGCGGATCGTGATTGGCGGCTGCCGACTGTTGTCCTCGTCGTTGATGGTGCTGTTATGACAAAGCTGGCGGCGGTAGGTGGCGGTTTGACGGTGGTTCCGGCAATCGGATTTGCCGCAGACATTTGGGACATTTTTGGATCGATTTTTGGAAATTAGACAAGTTATAGGGGCCTTAGTGCAATTTTTAAAAATTTAATCTATGTTTATAATTTTATTTCTATTAAATCTGTAAATTATTAAAAAAAATACTAAATGCACAATAACGATAAATAAAATGCATATTAGTGTGTTTACGTGCACATTAATAGAAAACTAAAAAAGGAAATGAAATAACCATGTCGATATTTTAGAAAAATCAAATCGATCGAATTTTTATGCCAAACAAATTTATATTGAACTGAACTAATTGGTTTATTCGGTTCGTTAGTCGAATTAATCAGAATAAACAAAATAAATTATTATATATATTCCAAAAAAACATATTTAATGTTTAAAAATTTACACATAATCGACTTAATTTTTTGATTAATATAAATAACAAAAATGACTGACATAATTTATATTATTTATTATAGTAAACATGATTAGTATTTAATGTTGTTTTTAATTCATATTTTATATTATTTTTTAACTAAAAAAATTGTATGTGTAAACGAAATATATTATACAATCTAACAGTTATTAAGGTGCAATTCGTCCAATATTATGGTAAATTGCACATTAATGTTATGTAAATCACACATTGTTGATCATTAGATTGCACGTTAATGGTATGTAAATTGCACATTAATATTTTTATGTAACATTTTATTTATCTTAATTGAAAAAATAATAGTTTTATAAAAAAAATATAAAAAGTAGTATTTGTTTTTATGGTTTGATCGGTTCGGTATGTTTATTTAAAAAATAAAAAATAAAAAATGACATCGAACCGAAATAAGTAAAATTTAAAGGTAAACACACATAATCGGTTCGACGTAATATTCAAATGCAAAAAACCAAATCAGTTGAGTCCGGTCGATATAGTGCAATCTGACAGATAATAAAGTTCATTGAATCCGTCGGGACCGGGGGCTTTCTCCTTCATATCAGCAACCTGCCGGTGGTACCGGCGTTCTCCAGGAAACTAACGGCTCGCAGCTGTTCAGCCGCAATCCGTTTATCGTGAAAGTGCAATCCTAAAGACATTAACGCGCAATCAGTCTAACACTAATGCGCATCGATGTGCAATTATTTTTTAATAAAAAAATATATTTCGTATTAGTAAATTTCCTAGTTTTTTTTTTTCCGAACGATAGGTATTCTCATAAATAGAAACATAAAGTCACTACTACAATATCCAAGCAAGTACAAGCCAAAAGCCGAAGGTATAGACCAGGGAGCACTACTAAACTAAGTAGGCTAAACATATACAAACCAAACATTAAAGGCAGAACCAAGCTGGATCCTTTAATGAGAAATAAACAATGCTAATCAAGATACAAACAAGAGACCAAACCACTGAACAATCAAATAGACCTAGTTATGGACTCATAGCTTGCTGAAGCATCAGTTACAGTTGATCTTTGTTTCTTGCCATTCTTTCAAAGCGCCTTTGACAATGTTGTGCTCGGGCCTCCATTTTTTCTCAAAAACCCAAAGGTTACGAGACTTCCAAAGCCACCATAAAATGTAAGTTGTGAGTTCGATTCTGTCTTCAGTGGCTTTAGACTTAACCAAGCAGCAAATTGTTCCCCACCAATCACAGAAATTGAAGCTGTCCACTTCAATCCCTCCCCAGCTGACCGGTGCCATCTTCCACACCTTCCTAGCTCTGGAGCATGTGAGAAATATGTGCTCAACAGTCTCTGGAGCTTCACCACAGCAGGAACAAGTGGCATCCACATCAACACCCCTTTTCTGCAGTTTTAGGTTCACAGGCATGGAGTTGGTGTAGCACTTCCAAAGTAAATGTTTTATTTTGCCTTTGGTTCTTATGCTCCAGCTTCTGTGTCTTGCTTGTTGGTTTCTGATAGCTGTGTTACTCCCCTCAGCAATGTCAAGGGACTGAAATTTCCTGAGGAAAAGGAAAGCATAGGAAGAAGAGACTGAGAATTTGCCTTTGGTGTCAATGCTCCATCTCCATTTGTCAGCCAATAGGGGGTCAAGTGAACTGATTTTGAGGATCTCAGAGCTGTCCTGTGCCACAAAAGTTTCCTTTACTTTTTGCTCATTCCATGTGTGGTTTGCATTCAAGAGGTCCTTCACCCAGAGTTTCTTGTGGTCAGCTGCATTTTTGAACTGCAAAGGTCTTCCTCTTAGGCCAGGAACCCAATTGAAATCTTGCAGTTGAACAGTAGCTCCATTTTTTATGTCTATAGTTAGTCCCTCTTTTAGGATCCATCTGACTTTTAGCCATGATCTCCAAAGCCATGAGGAGTTCTGTTTCTGAGTAGCTTCAAAGATGGAAGAGTTTGGGAAATATTTACTTTTGAGGATTCTGCTCATGAGGAGTTGTGGCTGAGTTATCACCCTCCAAATTTGCTTGACCAACATGGCATCATTAAAGAGGGATAAATCCTTGAAACCAAGCCCACCCTGCTTCTTTGTTAGTGTCAATAAGTCCCATCTCTTCCAGTGGATTCCACTGTGCTGCTCATTGTTTTTCTTCCACCAGAAGTTTGCAATGATACCTGTCACCTCTTTACATATAGCTACTGGCAGTCTAAAGCATGACATAACAAATAGAGGGAGAGCATTCAAAACAGATTTAACAAGTACCTCCTTCCCAGCAGATGAAAGGTACCTGTTTTTCCAGCTGAGTACTCTTTTCCTAACAGCCTCAGTCACAAACCCAAAGACTTCCTTTTTTGACTTACCAATGCCAAATGGTAGTCCAAGATATCTGGAGGAGTTTTGCACTTGAATACCATGAAAGAAATGGCAGACTTGTTGTTGGATTGGTGTGCTGGTGTTCTTGCTGAAGAATATAGAAGATTTTGAAGTGTTAACCTTCTGTCCTGAGAATTTTTGGTAGCATTCAAGGATTGATTTGATGGCTCTAGCCCGATATCCATCTGCTTTACAGAAAATTATAGAATCATCCGCAAAGAGGAGGTGTGTAAGGATAGGAGCTCCTCTGGCTAATGAAAGTCCTCTGAAAATCCCCCTATCCACAGCTGCAGTGATCATAGCAGAAAGGACTTGAGAGACAATGATGAACAGGTAAGGGGACAGTGGGTCCCCCTGCCTTAATCCTCTCTGAGCATTGATGTATCCACTGATGCTGCCATTAAGAATGAAGGAGAAGGAAGCAGTAGACACACACTCCATAATCCAATTAACAAATTGAGCTGCAAACCCCATTTTGAGCATAGTCATTCTGATACATTTCCACTCAATCCTGTCAAAAGCCTTCATCATGTCCAGTTTTATAGCCATGAAAGAATGCTTGCCTGTATGATGTCTATTTAGGAAATGGATGCCTTCATTTGCTATGACCACATTGTCAGTTAATTGCCTCCCAGGTAAAAAAGCAGATTGAGCTTCATGAATGCAGCAGTGAAGACAGTTTCTTAGTCTACCAGCAAGAATTTTAGAAATGAGTTTGTAGACTACAACACATAAACTAATGGGTCTGTATTGGGAGAGGTAGTTGGGATTTGCACATTTGGGAACAAGAGTTAAAAGGGTGTGGTTCTAGTATTTGAGTATTTTCCCAGAGAGGAAGAAACTAAGAACAGCTTCACACAAGTCCTTCTTAATCAAAGGCCAGAAATGCTGGAAAAATAGGGCAGGCATACCATCAGAACCTGGGGATTTAGAAGGGTTCATGGAGAAGAGAGCCTGCTTTATTTCTTCTTCTTCAACTTGGGCCAAGAGCTCTGAGTTAATTGAGTCTGAGATGGTGTGCTGCACATCTTGGAGAATGTTATCACCCCCAGAAGAGCCTTCAGTGGTGAAAAGGATGTTGTAGAAGTCTTCCACATGCTCCTGAATAGCTTCTTTGGTATCACAAACATTTTGCTGTTCAGTAACTAGTCTTGTAATAGCATTGAGTTTCCTTCTTTGCATAACCCAGGCATGAAAGAAGTGGGTATTCTGATCTCCTTCTTTGAGCCACTGGGCTCTAGCTTTTTGCTGCCAGAAGAGTTCCTCAGAAAGGTTTGATGTGTCCATTTCTTTTTGAAGCATATCCCATTCTTCCCAGTCACGGTTACCCACTTCCTTCCTCATCTCCTCAAGTCTGAGAGAAATTCCCCTGACTTTGTTTATGTGGTCAGCCCTGAAGTTTTTGCTCCATCTGATCAGAGCCTCTCTGGTTCTTTTTATCTTTTCTTTGAGAATGAAGAGAGGTGTGCCTTTTTGGTTTCCATTCCAGGCTGCCTGCACCACTTCATCTAGCCCCGCCCTTTTAACCCATCTCTTATCAAAATGGAACCTGCTCTTGGGATTGGTAATTGTTGGATCATCTTCAAGGAGAAAGAGGTGATGGTCAGAAGAGCTTTTAAAGTAGGAGGTTGTTTGAGTCCCTGGATAAGTTCTGAGCCATTCTAGAGATGCATAGGCTTTGTCCAGTGCTTCTTCTACAAACCCTTCTTGGTCCCTGTTGTTACCCCAAGTGTAGGGGTATCCCTTTCTAAGCTCTAGTTTTTCCTAGTTAATAGTTAATATTGTTGTTTGATGAAAATGAATAATAATATATATAGATAAAATATAAAAAATAATATTTCTTATATATTTCGATCGGTTATTTAAAACATGTTGTTTTATAAGGTGCAACGTGTTGTTTTATAAAGTGCAATATTCTGCTATATGAAGTGCGATAATATATAGTTCGATCGGTTATTGAAAACATGTTGTTTTATAAGGTGCAACATGTTGTCTTATAAAGTGCAATATTCTACTATATAAAGTGAGATAATATATAGTTCGATCGGTTATTGAAAACATGTTGTTTTATAAGGTGCAAGGTGTTGTTTTATAAAAATATATTTAGTATTTATATTTTTTATTTAATATCTTATATTAT